TTTTTTCTTTTACGTTTTGTTGTTCCATCATCGTCATCACTATCTTCATCAGTTTTTCGCTTTTTTTTTGTATCTATTTGTTCTTGATCATCTTCGCCTTGTTGTTGTTCATCATCTTCTTGATCAAAATCTGAATCTACAACATCTTCTTCAGATTCTTCCGAACGATAATCATTATCTTCTTCTTCCTAAAAATATAGATTTAAAATAAACCAACAAAAAATAAAATTCTTCTTACGTCAAGAAAACCACCATAAGCTGTACCATAAAATTCATCATCTGGATCCTCTTGTTGTTCGAGTAAACGTTTTAGACGATTACCAGCAGTTTGACGACGTTCTCGTTCAAGAGTAGATGTCATATTTTTGTTTTATTCTGAAAGTATTAGATTTTCTGTATGGAAAATTGAAAAAATTATTCTCTGAATTTAATTAAACTGTGTTATATGTAAATGAAAGATCCACTTAAATATAGAATTATACAATATATCATTGAACGAAACTATTGATCATTCTCAACAAAAATTGAATATTTCGATTATCGCTCATGTTCTGAAATTTAATCAGTCATGCCACTTTAATTGAATATTATTTTTTCTAATAAAAAAAGATTGAATCTACGATCAAATCGCTAATAATGAATGATGAATTTTAGTTAGTTGAAAAAGAAACAATAAATTTAATTGAACGAAAACTAGATTCATTATAAAATTAAACAGTAAACCTTATCGAATTGATGTCACGGATTATGATGCTCATATAAATGATCTATTAGGTCTTCTAATACGTAGTATTCAGTTTAATGGCAAAATTGAAATCTATTTATGCTAAAATTTTTGTCGAGTTTGATACAAGCTTTATCTAACTAATGAATCATATATATGCAATTCAAAGTAATTGACTGATATCTTTTGTAAGACAAATCACTACGAACAATAACTACTTTAATATAACTCACATATACAGAAGTGACATTTCATTATCTAAATATATAAATTAAACATACAATCAATTAATCTTAAACAGAATGTATTGTATTTTTCAATCTGACATTTGGTAAACTGCAGAATTCGAAATATAAACCAATCAAATTTTTCTATATTGTCAACGATGACATCTAGAGCATCGTTTGCCTTAGTTATTTTTAGATTTTGTCTTATTGGTTGTGATCTTTCTTTAAGAACGAACTGAACACAAAGGCTTTTTTTCATTTCATTTCTTTTTTTTAATTAAAATGCCTCCAAAAACAAAAACTCGAGAATCAACAACTGAAAAAGATAAAGAAACAAGCTTATTAACGGAAGCACCAGCAGCTGTTACTGCTGCACTTCAAGTCAATGATAGTGTATCAACTGATTGTGAAAGTGGTGGACCAACACCAATAACTAAATTAGATAAATCATGTGGTATTGGTAATGCCGATTTAAAAAAATTACAAGAAGCTGGATTTTGTACTGTTGAATCTATTGCTTTTGCACCAAGAAAAAGTCTTCTAGCTGTAAAAGGTATAAGTGATGCAAAAGCTGATAAATTAGCTGTAAGTTTTATATTCAAATCGAAAACAAAAATTTAAAATTTTTACTTTAGGCTGAAGCAGCAAAACTTGTTCCTATGGGTTTTACAACAGCTACAGAATATCATCAAAAACGTTCAGAAATTATTCAATTAACAACTGGTTCAAGAGAACTTGATAAACAATTACAAGGTGGTTTTGAAACAGGTTCTATTACAGAATTATATGGTGAATATCGTTGTGGTAAAACACAATTATGTCATCAAGTTGCTGTTACTTGTCAGGTAATTTCTTTTTTTAATACATTTTTTTTATAAATCTTCCTTAATTTTTAGTTACCTATTGATATGGGTGGTGGTGAAGGTAAAGCAATATATATTGATACAGAAGGTTCATTTCGTCCTGAACGTTTATTGGCTATTGCTGAACGATATGGTCTTTCTGGTCAAGATGTTTTAGATAATATTGCTTATGCACGTGCTTATAATACAGATCATCAAATTCAATTATTATATATGGCAACAGCTATGATGTGTGAATCAAGGTAGAATAAAAAACAAAGTTTATTATTTTAGATAATTTTTTTTTTTCTATATAGATATGCAGTGTTAATTGTTGATAGTGCTACATCATTATTTCGAACGGACTATTCAGGTCGTGGTGAATTAGCTGCAAGACAAATGCAATTAGCAAAATTTATGCGCATGTTATTACGCATTACAGATGAGGTTCGATTGAATCATTTCATAAAATGATTTTAATTAATTTGTTCTGATTAAGTTTGGTGTTGCTGTAATGCTTACAAATCAAGTTGTTGCTCAAGTTGATGGTCAAGCTATGTATGGTGATCAAAAGAAACCTATTGGTGGAAATGTTATGGCTCATGCATCTACAACTCGGTAATTATTTTTTTAATTTCAGTTTGTTAATGTTTGGTTCTGTTTTAGACTTTATTTGAAAAAGGGCAAAGGTGATTCACGTATATGTCGTGTTGCTGATAGTCCATGTTTACCGGAAACTGATGCTATATTTGCTATTGGTCCAGAAGGAATTGTTGATGCAGCACCAAAAGATCTTTGTTGATTGTATATATGTATAAGATTTTCATTTGAATTATTTATTATACTCTTCTAATTAAATGCGAATTGTGAAACATAAGATGAAAGTCTATAAAGTTGCTACATTTATTTAATAAATCTTATTCTTTTGTTTAAAACGATGGATACTTATATTTTGACAATAAAGATTTCATATTGATGAAAAACATAAAACTATTGAAATCAGAGTTGCTTTTTTTTCTTTCCAATGTTTTGCAGACGAGACAATTAAGAGGTAGAAGGAGGATAATTTCTCTCTCCTAATTTTTTTCTTGCATTCTGCATTTCTTTCTAACTAATATCAAATTTTAACAACTACACCAATTGGATCTAATGAACAACTAAGTTTTAGTGCGCTACAACGAATGAAAACAAAACTACAGAGTAGTCTCTCACCAAAAGCCTTAGAGACAACTGTAGAATTTAGTATACTAAAACTAGATGATATTGACAAACATTTTTGTATGTATCCCGGATGGGCAAAAGCTCGCAATATTAAAATATACATAAGCAACATTGATGATGAAACAGACAAACATTACGCAATCATTAGAAAGAACATTACTTTTAAAACTATTGATGTAAGCAGTTTTTACATGGAGTAAAAATATATTTGTTTTCATTGATCATAAATTTCTTAATGAATTTACTAACATGAGAAATGACAACAAAGGAAAAAAGCTTAACGATTGATAACGAGAATATCAAAACTTTTAATTGAGATTATACTTTTCTGAGAACAACTGATGAATGAATGGTTTCTCTACAACCTTGAGAGATTCTCTCTCTCTCTCTTAACTTTTTCTCCTGTTAAACAGAATTAAACGATAGCTTTGCACGTAGTCTCGACTAAAAAACGGTTTATCAGTTAGAGGACTTCTCTCGTCTGAATATTTACTATATTTATCTCACTACTATTTAGAATTTGCCGGTTCCGGTTAGTAAGAATGAAGAAAAAACGGTTTCAATTTCGGTTTCTAAAAAGTATCTTGGGAATCCTTGATCTAGTAATAGTACATCAGATAAATCATAATCGTTTGTTTTTTTAGATACACTCATATTTAATTTGTTGAGATTGCTCGTGTCTATAGTCTTTTAAAAAAGCAACTTCTTCGAAAGATAAAATAAAAGAAGAACGAACAAGAGAATCATGACTTTTAGTCAGCTGTATAATCTTTTCTTTCGTTGATGGATAAGCATTAATTTGAATAAAAATAAGGTTTTTACGTACTATGTCAGGGCACAAAACAGACAAAACTAAAGTAGAAAAGTAAAATACATTTGCTCATTCTTTCATAAGTATAAATAAGTAAATTATTTGAGTATTTCTTTTTACAAAGTCATACAAGCATGAAAAAATAAAAATGACTCTAGAATCTGCTCAGATACTACTTTATCAAACTGTTGGCCATTTCTGACTTTTCTTTGTATCATGCATGAGAAATACATAGGGTACATCGGTAAAACGAAATACTATGCCATCGTATGATATCCTATCCAGCATAAAGTTACCCACCATTTAAACAATTCCTCAGATAGTAGTAAAAAGTTTTTGGTTCCGGGTAAGAGGAACTGAAAAATTATGGTTTCGATTTGATTCTCAGTTTCATTTTTTTGGAACTGCTGGACTCTACTATTACTCTTTTAGACTTTCAGAATATCAACCCAATTAAGTCTTCTATTTTGGACCAATCCAACAACAATTTCCGTAAACCCAAAGACATTTTCAAACATCTGAGATCGAAATAAAAAAACAGATCTAAAAATACATCATAGATGGTTCAAAACATTCCCATAGGCATAGTCCTTAATGTAAAAGAAATATCTTTCTTTCAAAAAGATTCAATTTTACAATTTAATCTTCTCCTTAGATAAAAACTCGTTTAATGAGGAAATTCTATCGGAAAATTTTCAACATAAGAATTTTTTTCTGATTAAAATTGCTCTTAAAAGAAACACAGTACTTATTGTTCATTTGCTCAATAAGTAGCATGACTTTGAGAAAAAGAAAAAGAAAAACAACTCTCCATCATACTAATGCATATATGATCATTGAATCATCAAGAAAACTAATTAAATAAAAATGCTTTTTCCATCAGCTAGTTTAAAGAGAAACGGGTGGTAGACGATGATTTTGGTTTCCTCAAAAGTTGCGTCGATTTTTTTTTCAATTAAGGATATAGCTTGTGTCAGAATTTAAGTAAGAATACTGTGATGAAATACGTAAGGAAAAAAATTTTAAGAAAAGGTGGCAAGCGAGACATGCGTAGTTGTGTCAAATAAATAATGACTATAACATAATTTGTTTTTATTCAATATTGTTTATTCTTAACTGCAATAAGCAACTTTTTTCTCTATACAGTGTCAACTAACATAACAACAATAACATATATGTCATCAGCAGAATCTTTGATTATTGCTTATTATTCTTTAATATTGGTTATTATTGGAACTCTTTTTAATTTTTTGACATTTCTCGTTCTTTGTCGATCAACATTTAGAGATAAACAAGCAAGACCAATTGTTCATTATATGCGTACAATAGCTATATTTGATATTTTAATGTTATATGGATGGAATCTTAATCATTATCTAATGATTGTACATGAATTTCATCTTCTAAAATATTCAATAGTATCATGTAAATTTATTAGTTTTATCAGTTATTTTACTTCACAAACATCGGCTTGGCTTCGTGTCTTTGTTTGTCTTGATCGATATTTATCTTTGAGTCATATTCATCGAGCATGGATGAATCGATCAAAAACTGTTCTTATTATTATTGCATGTGTTATTATGACTTCTATTCTGTTAAATTTACATATACTTATTTTTGCTTGTTATAAAAAAAATAATGGTACTATAAGTATTCAAGCGCGATCGTATAGAATCTATCCTCTATGGAATCATGTTCATTTAGGTGTATACAATTGTGTTCCATTCATATTAATGGTTATATTGAACACTGGTGTTAGTTATCATTTACTTCATTTTCAACGTACTAATTCAACTCCAAATTCGCGTATTCAACATCGAGCTATAACACTTACATTAGTTATAACAACATCTCTTTTTTTAGTTATGACTATACCAGCAGCAGTTGCTTACGCGTTTTTTATACAAGCAAACGCTACGCTATTATGTTTTTTGGATGGAGTTCTTTATACATATCATGTATTATCATTTCCATTGTATTTAATTACATGTAATGGATTTCGACGAGAATGTATTGAAATGTTAACATGGAAATGTTGTCATCGAAAAGTTGTACCACTAATCGATCCTCGAGAATAGCAATACAAATAAATAATGCATATTTAAGACTAACAATTTTGTTTTGTTCTTTTTTCGTAATTCCATCTATTACGCATCTAGAGAGCTTGTAAATATATTCACATACAAAATATGACTTTTAATAAAAATCATTTTCGGATTTACTTGAAAGAAAAAAGAACAAAGCCGACAATGTTTATATAAAGATAAAAAAGACACATAGTCGATCCAATCCAATCCTTCTTTCATTTTCGACTACGCAATAGCGTATACTTGAAAGAATAGATTCTATCTCTCACTTTATGATAACACATATTTTGAATAAAACTAAAAAAGACCATTAAGATGAGTAGACAAGAGAAAAGGCAAAATACTTCATCTGTGCAGCAAGCGAATATTGATAATTTATTCATAAAGAAAGTTCGATGTATTGATATAATCTATATCAATTAGGCATGTACCGAACCTGAATTCTAGTTCGATGTTTCGCTTCGGAAACTATCCAATCAGTTCAGACGGTGTCGAATATTTGGGTAATTGTCCTAGCGTTTCTTGACGTATATGTACAATCATGAAACTACTCTAAAGTTTGCTTCGGTTCGAGTATTTTTAAACATTGTTGATTTTTTTAGTATGTCTATAGACCTTCAGTTTTTGGCTCATTCATTTCGCTACGGATATATTTACCATAACTAAGCTTAAGATCGTCTCTTTTGGCTTACTTCTACTTCCTTTTTTTTTAATTTACTGAAAATGATCGTAGTCAAGACAGAACTTGAACGCTCGAGTTCGGTGCATGCCTAATATAAATAAAAGAATCAAAGCCAATTTTAGTAATAACAATTAATTATCATAATTAACTTTTACCAAACTCATAAATATTCTATCAATACCAATGCAAAAGAAAACTTTCCGTGATCAAACTAAACTTACAAAAGTTAATGACGATATACTATTTTGAAGACTATAGTTAATTACACGTTTCTCTATTATGTTTATGCGATGCTCGAATAGTTCGACTGAAAAAAAATACATACATTGCTCCTTAGCAGTTCAAGAAATTTAAATACTTTTCGACAGTTTGATCACATATTCATTAAAAGTCTGCACATACAGAAGTTAAAATCAAAAATATTTTTACTTTTCAATCAGCCATAAATTCTACGAGTTTTTGGAACCAGTACTGTGAAAAATCGACAACATTCTGGAATATCGTCGAGTAATAAAAAGGAACCATAATCAAGCGTTCAATCTATGTTACTCTTCTTCGAAGAATTATTGAACAAATTGTACTTTGTATAGCTTTAATAAGAGATGTTCCATAATAATCTGGTATTTTACTATTGTTTGTAGTAATGAGCAAGTTTGTGAAATAGACTTACAGAATGTGATCGATTTTCGACACTATCAGTTTCACAAAGTCGCTAAAATGTAAATAAAACCTATTTCAATTCTGATTTCTGTGAACACAAACGGTTTATCGGAAAAATTTAATGAATATGTAGTCAAAGTGCAAAAAAATATAATCCGTTGAATTGCTGAGAAGTTATTCATGTTTTTCTTCCGTTCGGACTTCTAGAACACCCTATAAGTTGGATATGTATTACCAATACTTTTTAATGTAAGTTCATTAAAAAAATAACCTGATATCAATAGGTTTTTATTTGAGTACATAACAAATCAGTTCACTAGTAGCACACATGATTATCCAAGGATGTGTAATTTCAGTTTACTGACCACTGACGTTGCTGAATCCGTGTATTTAGTACATACTAACACTATAGGGCACTAGTACTCATTGAAGCACCGGAATGTACCGCTACAAAGAGAGCATATTTTGATAGAGTTGATATTTCAATATTGTAGCGAAAGTGGATGCCAATGTACTCAGCAGAGATAGGATAGATTAATGTTTTTTTATTTTGAAACTGAACCGATCCTATTTCTGGTAGCGACTGCTTCAGTGAGCATCGATGTAAATATAATCAGTGCCTCAGTGAACCCTGTGTTGGTGACTCACAATCAGTATTTACATCAACACTGTACATCAGTATGTTTATCATTTCAGTATATATAGCCATCACGATTGAGTATGTATGTGGTTCGACAGATATTCACTAGGTACAGCATTCGAATCTCGGTATCACCAGCCATGGAATGATCGTGGACAAATCACTAACAACTGTTTTTCTCGGATCATCCGTCTGATAGCATACTGACTACGATGTAGCATGCACTTGCTCTTCTAGCTACTTTGTGTACAAGGAAAGTGTAAGAACCACTAGGCAGGACTCCATACCACAAAGTAGCCGAATGGCAGTGATATTTTTTTTTCGTTTCCAGTATAATGGAATAGGTTCTTGTTTTTTAGCATAAATTGCGAAAAATGATTGTCATATTTTAACTTCATCTGTCTGATATTTAAAGTTACAAGATATTGTTTCAATATATTTTTCTATTTGTACTTGACAGATATTTTTTTATATATATCAAACATATCGAGAAAAGAAAAACCACAAATAATACGATTCGGGTTGTTCAGATAAGAAAACAAAAACAAAGACGAATTACATGAATAGAAAAAGTACAAAGTTTCTTTATTTAATGTGGTGGTGGCGGTGGTGGAGGAGCTGTTTTTGGTAATGGTGGTATGAAACCAGTATTATTATTTTGATAATATTGCTGTTGATATAAACTTTGATAATACATAGCAGCATTATATTGATTCCATTGACTCCATTGTTGTTGTTGCTGTTGTTGTTGTTGTTGTTGTTGTTGTTGTTGTTTTTGTTGAGGATTTTGAGGATTTGTCCATGATGTTGATGAATTTGTATTACTATTACTTGCTCCATTTTCCATTAAAGCTGGTATATGTTGAGCACGATATGAATCACCTTCAATATATGCTGAATAATTATTATTACGATTATTTCGCCGTAGAAGATAATGACCATCGAATACATCATTATTATTATAACGAGGACCTGTGTTACTCCAATAAGTTGACGATGTTGGTGGTTGAGTCGTTGATGTATTATTTGTATTAAGAGACATTAATGACGGAGGATTCTTTAAGAAAAAAAAATACTGTTTAGTTTTCTATGATATATACAATTTAATTAAGTTCTTCATAGGCTGATGTAGGTAAAACAATTTTTTCTCAAAATAACTGAATCAGAGCTATCAGATATTCATAACATATTAGCTGTGTATTTTCAAAAAAACAATGATAGAAGATTTCAGGACTTATCTTTTTAAGTCAGAACAAGGCAATCCTGTATTTAATCTAATCTTTTTTACCATCTTTGATTAATATGCACTATCATTAGTAGTATTTCATAGATGTTATGAATGAGAGTGTGAGAATCTTTATTGTCTTGCTTGATTCTCTGGTTTGTGAGACGGGACAGGAGATAAACTAGCTGATACTGCTCAAAACTATCGAGTAGTCATTATAGCAAATTGAAATGATGACTAATCATTCTAGCATCTAGCTTTCTTCGATTTCAGTTGGAATACGTTCATACTATTGAAAAATAATTCTTTTTTTTTGTTGCAATCCATTTTTGGAAAAAAAAAAACTTCAAACAATTAATTATTTTCAAATACAATTCGAGAAACATTTCTAAAGGTCTGAAGCACTACAATAGGACAATAATTGAAAACTTAAGGGAAATGATACTTAGCGAAATCATAATAAACATTTTACTTACATAATTATTATTAGTAGTATTCGTTGTTCCATTATTATTAGTAGGATTAGTGGGACTATTAAATGTTGCTGGAGTAGTACTGGCTGGATTATTTGTTACTGGAGCTCCAGCTGTTATAGCTAATGTTGGACCGTTTGTCCTTGATCCACTCATTAAACATTTTCGGTCTTCTAATGATAAAGTACTTGTATCCGAATCTTTTTTACCTGTTAATTCATTAATTAACGATTGATACTAAAACAAAAAAAAATAAATTATTTAATTATAATAGTTTGTTCTTTTTTGTTTTTTTATAAACCTTACTTCACAATCAAGTTTTTGTTGTTCAACTCTATTGGCTCCATTAATCATAAGTGATCCATCAGGATTTAATTCTGCATAAGTACCATCAGGGTTTTTACGAAATTTACAATCACTTGGTACGTGTCCAGCTCCACCACATATTGTACATATTATTGTATTTGTAATAATTTTTTCAGCTTCAGTCATTAATTTAAGTTTACTATAAAAGAAAGACGACAAATTTTAAATTAATCTTACGACGAAAGTTCTTCAACTGATAAATCTCTTTTGAGTCGAGACTATGTAGTAACAAATGAACTATGAATACCCTGAAAAGAGTTCGTGTCCTTCACGGATTGCTGCACTTTTACGGTACTTGTTGAATAAATATTATGGTAACAGAAAAACTAATTTTTGAATTTCGACTTGAAATTCGACATTGAGACAGACCTTAACGAGATTAATTTATTAGGAAAGTTTCAAGTCTTTTGATTTGCTTCTATCCTGAAATACGAACATCAAATCTATCAATTTATATGAGCCATGTAAAAGGCACGTTATTACCATAGTTGCATCTTAGGATAGAAACAGGAGCAAGCTCTGAAATATTCACAAAAAATAAATTCTCATTAAGGTCTATCTCTTAACATGTGATAGCTCCCGCTGGTATACTGTGCGCTATGCTAGCAGAGTTTTTTGAAAGTGTTATATCAAAATGGATGAATATTTTTGAAGTCTTGTAAAGCTAACAAAATTCTGTCATTTTTGATGCACCCTAATAATGCTAATGCGTCTATATCAGCTGCAGGACCCACAATCGGTTCCACTTATAAGATAAATTTTTGTTAGCAAAATATATTCTGAAACTGCTTTTTTTCCAATTAATTTGAATTCTTTCTAATAAAGAATTCAAATTTTGGAACAAAAAAACATTCTCTGCAATTGTTTATAGTTGAAACTAAAAGTTGTAAGTACGATCGTCAGTTCTTACAAGTACAATGATAGTGTGTCATGGATATGCAATTTTCGTAGCAGAAAATTAAGGATACAAACTCATTTGCTTCTACATAGGATCGACTCAAAAGCAATTTATCAGTTGGAGGACTTCTATTGTGAGAAGAAAATTTCTTTTTACATGAGACAATCATTTTCACGTAATGTGCCATGAAGTAATGCTAATTCTCGTAATTGTTGTTTACGTAATTCATTCATTCCTTCAGGTTCTTCAATAGCTTGATTTATTATTTGATTAACCTATATATGAAAAAATTAAATTTTTTGAATAATGTTATTAATTTGGTTTTTGAATAATTACCTTTTCTACGGCTTTAGCTACTATTTCAGGAGATGTACCAGTTATATAAGCATGTAAAGGTTCATCTTCACCTGGTAATGGGCCATATCTGACTAAACCCATTTTTCCATCTTTGATTGATCCTTTGCCTTGAAAAAAATTCCTATTTAAATTTAACAACCTATGAGAATTAGTTTGTATACCTCTAATGATGATTTTCGCATTGGTCTAAAAGAAATGAAGAACATATTTTTCTTTTTAGTTACAATATATAAGTCATAGATATGAACAAACATACTTCTTTTTCTAATGTTTTGAGTGTATTACCACGTGGTCCAATAATTAAACCAACAAAATTAACTTCTGGATGATCTTCTTGTGGAATCATTACTTTATCAATATATTTTGCTTGTTGAGGTCTAAAATTAAGATATTTTATAGATTAATTTTGAAAATATATTCTAAGAGAAAAAACAACAGCTAGATTTTATTTTTATTTTCGAAAAGAATCTAATCGATAGAAGTAATGAAATGAAAAAAATAATGTTCTATGGTATGGATTTATCTATTCTATTAGTTCAACAAAGATGAACATATCTTCGAAATTAAGAAATTGACCTGCTATGAAATACAATCTTTTTAAGTATTTAAAACTTATTTTTGGCAATAGATCGAGGAATTTTCTTATAAAAAAACGAAAACTTTGACTGTGTTATATGATCATCGGAATTTATACCAATGATCTTGTCATGGATTATCAAGATATTTAAAAAATTCTTTTACTATTGATGTATGCAGTATATATTGTTATAATGAGTAAATCGAAAACGACGAGAAAACTATCCAAACTGATACTCATGGTTTAAATATCATGTATCTCTTGTTGCTAATCACACGAAGATTATTTTATTCTATCTATTTTGGGACACACTTTTTCACTATCCTTTTACTGAATCCTTCAGAAATACAATAAGCAATGCGTAGTTCAAGAAACTACACGGATGGGTATTTTTGGGGAATAACTTTTGATATAAAACAAGATTGAGAGCTGCGATTTTAATGTGCAGAAAGAGAATATGAGGACACATCGAATAATATATTACAAATTTTCTTTTGATATGATCTTTTTGAAAAGCAACTTATCCTATGAAGTGACGACAGTGAATTTTTAATGTAAGATTTATACATTTAATCGTTAAAGAGTTGTATGTATTCGACTCAAAGCTTTCAACTGATTACTGAGAAAAAAATGGCCCTTTTTTTAGAAAATTAATTAAAAAACCTCAGCAAACATCTTAGGAAAACCTATAATATATGATTTCATGTGACTTCACTTACTTTTTTTACCGGTGAAAATCGCAGTACTCTATCCTATTTCCATGAAAAATTATTCAAAAAATACCCATTCGTTGTTCTTTTTAAAATGGCTACTAGTACATATAAAAATGTAAGGTGTTGTTTACATACGGTCTTTGATCGTATATCAACAATGTCTGCCACGATCAAGAAAGTTCAAAAACATATCCCTCTACTTCAACACTTTTTTGGATTATGTTTCACAAACCAGGTTATATTTTACCGTCAAATCGAAGGAAACTATTTCATTCGAACTACGATTTTCTTTCAACAGGATAGGATACGTATGCTGTGCGATCAAAATCTATGAAATACATACTTATAATCAGCTGGTGCTTTATATTCAGGATTAAGTATAAGTAATTCCGTAACAAGTTGATGACGTTGTTCTTCAATTCTTCGTCTTGCTCGAACTTCTCGTGTATTTTGTCTTTTTCCTTGTTGATCATAAAGTGGTTCGGGTGATGGAGACCTAAAACAATGAAACAAACAAATCATATAATGAATTCATTAATTATTTTTGTCTATCATGTTTTTTCTTTAATAAACAAAAATAAAGAAATAACACACTCCATCGTGTAGAATACTGAACTAGAACATAAGATAAGATTAAAATTTTAACCTGAAAGAAAAAATGATTAGACAGGGATTTATCTTAAATGTATATATATATATATATTGTACGCGTCTTTATTATCTCACCTTTCAATATCGATTGACGTTCAACGTCACACATAGACACGACAAGATGACTAGAAAAGGAAGAGGATTTTAATATTAGAGGAAAAACAAAACATAACGGGAGAAACACTTCTGTCTGGATTTCGGTGCATTAGAAGAATTCGTAGCACTAAATAAAATAAAAAAGTGAACTTTTTGTATCAACTAACGCAAATCGATACTCGAAAAAAAATAAATAAAGACGAAAGATAAGTGTCAAGTGAAAAACAAAATACAATAAAAACAAGACAAACTATGAATAATTTCAAACATTTACCTGACTTCAGGATTTGTTGAAATATTTAAATCATTCATTTTTAAACGCCGTGTTAATTCTTCAATTTGAAGTTGTACTAAAATAAACAATTATCTATTAATCAAAATAATAAAAAATTAATTCACTTACAAATATAAATTTTTTGTTGCTGATCTGTCATATTACTTGTTGAAATTGTTGTTGGCATATTAGGTAAAAACACTCGATCAGTTTCATCACCAAAACGTCGTTTACGTTTTTTCATTGCTTGTATATTATTTCCTGTTGAGTCAGCTAAAATAAAATAAAATAAAATAATAAAAACAAAATATTTTGTTTTATTCTCTTTTTTTTTTCTTCAAACCTGGTGATTGATCTCCTGTTGGTGATATACTTTTATCATCGTCTTTAACATCTAATTTAGCTAAAAATGATGGTGGTAACATAATTGATGGAAGTCGTGGTTTATAAACAGAACTATTTTCATTAGTTGATCCTTCTTCTTTTTTTATTGATATATTGCTTATTGGTGATGAACCTTCATCACTGGATTTTCTTGAACGTTTATGACTTTTTCTATGTCGTTTTGACGGACTTCGACTACGTGAACGTGGACTTCGTGATGGCATACGAAATGTGAAGAAATTGAAAAGATTGGGTAATTAACAAAGATGCAAAATATTTATATGATTTCTTTCATATTTGTTACTTCATATCCTCCTTTCGTTAAAATATAGAAAAATTGGATAAGGCTTTTCCACATGATGTCGCTAGAAGATGATGTTCGATTATTTATTAAGAGTATATCAACTGTGTCCTACAACCACATCAGGTATCCGGTACTCAGGAATGTATGAGATCCGGTGAGGAAAATAAGTTATCAAAAAGGTGAGTATGTATTATCATGATGGAGAAAGTACTCATGTATGTATTGACAGTTGTGACGTTTGGCAAAGAGGTGAACTAAATCTTGCGTATATAAATAAAGATTGTAGATTTACGATATGAAATTCTCTCAAATCCGATCAAACTGTTAGCATCGATTATAAACAGTTTTATTCGCTCTACTTGATAATGGGTACTATATTTTCTAAATCTGAAAAAAAATTCTAAGATTTGGTCGAGTTTGGTGAAAATCATGGTACTACCGCATAAGACACTTCGTGCAACACAGTATGGGTGCTGGTGTCAGTGTGGGTGTGGAGTATATTGCTCCACTTTACCCACACCTACGTCTACATCCTGTCAACTGGCACACCTAGCCACATAGCTGTACCTTATTTACGCCTACCCCACACTCTCATCCCGATACACTTTAGCCCGCAAGGGTCGTGCGCATTAGAGACTTGTGATTCCCAGAAATATCCAGATCTGAACCATCGTTTTCTTAAAAATGTCTTTGAAATCGCTGATTTAATTATACTAAAACAGATAACTAATGTAGTAATTTTTATCTAGAAATTTTTAAGTTATATTCATTTTTCGAGACTTGTAATGTGTTTTTTTTTTGAAAACTTACTTCCTTTAAGAGATAAAGCAATCAAAGAAAAGAATGGCAAATTTATGACTCTTAGTCAGCTATATAATCTTCTCGATAACAAAGAATCATAGTGAGCTGAAATTTTCGAAAATCACCACGAGTGCGTAGCAACATATAAAAAGAAAGTTCAGCTTTATATCTGAAGCTTAGTAGGAGATAGGACAGTATGAGTGTATTGATAATGTCCATCTTTGTCTTTATCGTATCTCGCATGGCATTCAGTCAAATCAACTGAAGAATGTCATTTTTTTAATTTTAACTGAAGACATTCGAGTTCAGAAATGTTTGTAAATCATTTTTTAATTTTTTCATCTTTGGCGGATCGTAAGATGTGTGAAGTCAAAAATTACTTCATAAGACTGAGAAATATTTAAAAAAGTAGAATTCTGGTAAAATTTTCTTCAAACGAAAATGACATTTCAGGAAACGTGTTTGTCATCGACTATTTTAAGAAAAACCACCGTTTCATATGTAAAATCATCACTGATGGCAAAGGCCTCGTTTTTAACAGGATACAGCTTAGAAATACAGTGATTATGATAGATTACATTAGAGTAACGACTTGTCTATTCTGAAAAAGTGATTTATGCAAAATGGTGGATATTTCCGGAGTCTCTATCATACTTTTAGCTATTTTTGACTTCTTTTTCCATCCGATAGCAAGAAAAAACGTATAGTTTACTACTGATACAAACACAGATTGGTCTCTATGATTTCATATTATGCGAAACTTAAAGAGCTCTCCACCTGCCAATTAAATATTTACCATTCCAGCGGTTCCGATTCTAGATAAGAGAGGCTAAAAGCTTTCGGTTCCGGTTCCGTTCTCGACGTCATGTTTTATGGAACCCCATAGCTCTAGTTCGCAGAAATGTCATACACGGAACTATCAGTGAATCATTTTTATAGCATAGCCGTACATTGACTTTTAAAATAAAAATTTAATGATTAAAAACTAAGAATGTATTTAAAGTAGCAAGAACTTAGTTTAGTTATAGATTTTAAACGCGCAATTTAAATTTAATCTTAAGCCCGCTCGCTCAAAAAATTCATTTTTGTGAAAAGCATGAAAATTAAGATAAATGTATGATAAAATAGTCTGATGCTTGGTGTTTGATATATGACATGATTCTTTTTTATTTGGCACCTCGTTTTTTTCAAAAATGTGCATCATATGCTGTTTAAGAAATATGGTTTTAACAGACAGAGTGAACAATGTTTTTCGCTTTTTCTCAGGTTTATTTTTGTTTGAAAGAGCATGTCAAGATGCTGGGCATGACAGAATCTCTTTTTTTAAATTAAAATTTTTTACCATTACTTAAAGAAGTACATTTATAATTAGAGCGCTAGTTTTTGAGACATTATACTTTTCATTCATTTTCAGCTCTTAAAAAGTACGAATTAAAAAAGCTCTGTCATGCTGTTTCAAACAAAAAAAAAATAAATGTATATAATGCAGACTCACAGAGAATTGTGGGTTACGAAATAAGCTATTGTTGACCCTTGTTTAGTGAATAATCTCTGTAAAACGTCATGTTATAGGGCTAAAAGTTTTTCCATACAGTTCCAACATATCCTACCAATTTCATGTGGTTTACATATGCCTGGACAAAACTCGGTTTCGAAGAAGGAAGGGAGTGGCCTTAAGTGTTCGAATACTCTTGTGGAGTATCTGTAACTACGCCTAGTTGATAATAACCAGATAGAATTCCTCCATAAAAATAATTGTTTTTTTAAAACTTATTTTGTTCAATATTGTTTCAATAATTTCATATTCTATAATAAATGATCCTTTATTCACATGAACGCTTGAAAAAATCTTGAGCTGAATTGTATCTAATAAAATTTTAAATGATTACAAATATATGGAATTTAATCTGTTGATCGTATGACTGAATTGTCTAAACGATGAGAAAGTGACATATTGTACATATATTCGAATCTACCGCTAATTCCTTATTTCTTTTTCAATTTCAAATCTTTTTCGAACTGTTATTAGAACAGCACGACATGTCTTATCTTTGTCTCAAAATGGACTAGACAGAACATCAAAAATGCCATTTCGTCTTGATTCACATAAACGAAGTCATGGATAGGTCACTTGCGACTAACACACTAGTTTTGCCATGTTTTATGACGACCGGCAACAACATCATTCGGATGGGTGCGCATGTCATATAGAAACTAGGACTAGCCCTGTGCCGGTCTATTTTGTGACAATGGAGCAAAGAGGTCGACCAGTCAGACACAACTATAAAAAACAATTTTAGATATTTAACCCGTCTTTTGCATGTTGGGGAAGTGTTATAAATGCATTTCAAATTTTCATGAGAAATGTAAGAAAGTCCAATGTACAAAAACATTTCTTTCCATTTTTAATAATGCATCTAGGCAGACATGTTCAAAAGAATAAGTCAAAAAAAAATATGTTTTTGCGTGACGGGAAATTAAGTTAATTGAATCATTGCTATGCATTTTTTCTTTCTTATTCTATGTTCTCTACAACACATCAATTAGTTTTATTTTAATTCATCATGATATAAAAATATGTCGTTGTCAAATGCAACTCTAAATATAGTTATATCATTGAATAATACAACTACTTTTATCAATCGTTATATTCCTATTTTTATCTATATATTTGGTACAATTGGTAATCTTCTCAATGTTCTTGTCTTAAGTCAACGAACTCTTCGTTCACATCCATCTTCTATTTTCTTTCTTTTCTCATCAATTGCTGGTCTTCTTGTTATTTTTAGTGGTCTCACAGGTCAAATGTTGTCTAGCTATGAAGTTGATCTAACTTCGACTGTTGGATGGATTTGTAAACTTCGAAGTGTTGTCCTATATAGTTCAAGAACAATGGTCCTATGGTTAATCGTTTTAGCAAGTATTGATCGATGGTTATCATCCAGTTTAGTTATAAGATTACGACAAATAACTACTATGAACAATGCTTGGCGAAGTATATTTGTTATTCTTCTTTATACATGTCTTATCAATGCTCCAATAGTCTATTGCTTTGAAGCCAATCAAACTGAACCACCACGTCCATGTTATGCTTCAACATATATGTGCCGTCTGATCACCAGTCTATTTTATACATTTGGTACCACACTATTACCACTGTTATTGATGATAATTTTTGGATTGATGACGATTAAAAATGTACATCACGCGCGAATTCGTGTACAAATAGCGTGTAGTTTAGACTCGAATCATGTGAATATGAGAACAGCAGCAGCTAGACACGGACTATCACATTTAAAAAAATTAGATCAAAATTTAGTTAAAATGCTTCTTGTACAAGTTTGTCTACTATTTTTATTTACATTTCCTCATGCCATTCAAAGATTGTATTTAATATTTGCACCAAATCCACCACCACAATCATTACAAGATGCAATTCAAAACTTAATCTTTAATTTGTTTATCCTTCTCACATTTGTAGCCAGCGGAATGCCATTTTATATTTATACATTAAGTGGTGGTACTATATTTCGAAATACACTTTTTCATGTTTTGAAAACAATCGTCAGCAAAGTTCTATGCTAATAATGTTTGAAAGTTCGTTTTTTCGTAATAAAGTATATTAACATCAAGTCGATTGTTGGTAAAATTTTGTAATATGAGAAAAAATAAAATATTAAAAGAGAACTATTTGAAATAATTTTTAGGGTAACATTTCTTCGATTAATAACTCAATCAAACCGTACATGTTCGAAAGTTTTTGTTTCATATATTAATATTTTATTTGCTTCGAACAAATTTGGCTATCTTACAATGAATTATAATAAACAATTAAGACTATACAATGATGATTTCAAGAACAACGGTAGATAATCGTAGATTATTACAATTTACAATTGTAAACGATTAAATATCAATATAGATTCATAATTTTTCAGTCTTTTCAATTTCGAGATATATATGAGCAAGAACTTTATCTTTGTCAAAATTGGAATTCAATAAAACTCTGAATTTTTCGGAACAAAAGTTGAATTTGAGATTTGACAACATTATCTTTTGACACAATAGAAATTCGAGTTTTGTTCGGAAATAAATAAAGCTTGATTATAAATTAATAGATAGATTTCAAAATGTATGAAAACGGAAAATAAGTTCAAGAATGATATAGAATTTTTCTTTCATAGAGAATGAAACAAAATAAAAAATTAGTCGAATACTACAGAAGTATCTAGTTGTATCGTCTAACTATATATATTTTTAAGGTATCCCTTGTTTGTTTCATTTAAAAAAAATGACAATTTCAAACACAATAACTATACATGGAAATGATATTGGGAAACTTTGCTATGAAAATTTTAATCAATATATAGATTTTTTTTGTTTTTGAATGATAAATGAAGAAATAAAAGCGTTGAAGGATAGAATATTTATGAAGACAATTGAAAATGTTCGTCATTGTCGGAAAGCAAACAATCGATCTTGTATATACAACTTTTTTGTTATCAAGTGAAGCAAAATTTTGTTTCAATTGAAAATTGTTAGTATTGGTTTAGGATGCTGTATTAAATCGAGTACACTACTTTTTATTCATAAATTTGTTTTCTTGTGTATTAAGCGAAATATGTGCAACTGTCGAAGAAAATATCGATTTTAAATAAGATGAAATAGTTTGTGAAAGGAAAAATCTCGTTATTTGGGTATGAATCTTCAGTTAAACCATCAACATCTTCATTCATTATATATCATTTTAGCCAGATATTTTATTAAAATTATTTCAAGTAAATAAACAAGATGGAAATAACCATGAATTTTCAATTATATCAATCAATATCGAAATCAATGATACTTTTAAAACATGATTTATTTTTATTAGTTCAAAATATTCAATGATTTAATACATATTTATGTTCTCAAGATAGTTTTAATTGAAAACTGAAATATCAAATGATTCCACCAATTAGTTGTCGATCATTATTCTGGTCGGGTAAAATAAATTTTGGCTTTTTTTTTGTTTTTATATAGTATATAAATCTTATAAGAGATATAAAATGCCTTCCTGTATTTTTTATTTTATAACATTGATTACACATTATTAATATAAAATAAGCTAAATAAAATACAATTATATTGCCAGTAAATTCATGTATGACTGTATTGAGTTCATCTATGCAGAGGTTGAAAAAATGTCATGCAGCAGATACGGCAAGATCTTGTGACTCACCCACTAAATAAATACATATTGTTTTATAAGTAATAAAACGAATATTGAACAATGAAGACAATGGAGGACATATTTGTTATTGAACTAATGATTGTTTTCTTAGTACAATTAAAATGGACAATAGGAAAAGGCGTTGACATCTAAAAGACGAACGCGCTAGTGTAGATCGAAAGAGTTTATTTGATAATCAGTACGTGAATAAATAATTCGACAACTTTTCGAATAGTTCTAAATGAAAAAGAACTATGTTGATTTTCTTTCTATTTATATTCAACATCATCTATCGTGTCGTGTGTTAATCGTAAGAAATCTTTCAAAAACATGTTTGTCTATCTGTTGATTTTCGAGACGATCTATCCGTACCAGAGATCCGTGAGGTAGTCGAAAAAAGTGTTTCGTCTCCGTCTCATCAAGGGTTTAGCAAAAAGATAAATGTCTTTTTATGCAGTTTTTCAACCTCATGTAACAATTACTATTTCTTTTATTGCATAAGATCACATAAAGCACAGGATGTCCGAAAAGTCATTGACCTAAAAGAAAACTTTATATCTCTGCAATGGTACTTATTGGATGAACTAGTTTTTGTACTGATGGTAATAGATAGTTCAAAGTTTTTATTGAATAATACAACATTCTCAAATACTCTTACAAAGTAGCACTTTCAGATTCAATATACAACAACAAAAGTCCTTTTTCAACATGCAAAAACCAGTGTGTAGAACTGTGTCTTGAATTTCGTCTGTTTTATTTCATTATTGTGGACTTCTTGTCATCTGAACATATTTGTCTTCCTTTACAAACATTTTGAACAAACGAGGCACATTAATCTCAAGTCTAATACCTGTGAAAGCCCTAAAATCAGGTTGGTTCATCAGTTTACTTTTCATCAAAAGTTTTTGATAAGGGAAATACAATTCTTTTTTTGAAGAAATGCTTATAAATGAAGAGAAATAGACATAGATGACAAAAAGTCGACAACAAGGAAATAAAATAGAAAAAAACTTAAGCCATAGTCGTACATATTGTTTTTTTTTTTATTCCTCGAAAAAGGACTTTTATCGTTGTGTATTGAACTTGAAAGTGCTACTTTGTAAGAGTATTTGAGAAATTTATATTCTTGAATAAAAACTTTGAACTGTCCTCTGCCATCATTACTAAAACCAGTTCATATAATAACAATTATCGCAGAGCTATAAAATTTTGATTTTGATCAATAACTTTCCTCACATCTTTAACTTTATTTGATCTTATGAATTAAAGGAAATAATAATTGTTACATGAGATTGAAAAAATGTGTACACAGATATTTTTTCTTCTGCTAGACACTTGGTGAAACAGCTTTTTGACTGTCTCATGAATCTCTGATAGACACCAATTATTCATAACAAATAACGTTTCTCATAAAATATTATAAAAATGTAACTGAGAAACTCAATTTTATTTTTGAAAGATATAAAAGAGAATAATCAATTTAAATCAACACGAAGCAATCTCTACTCTCTACGGTTGACTCCCTCTATCGTCTATTTCTGGTATTCGAGGAAGTAGACAATAAATCATATTCATCATTGGTCTACATAGGTACCCATTGATTGTTCGTTCATTGTTCTAACGACCTTTTGTCTTGTTTGTTGTTGTTCTCTTCTTATTGCATCGCCGTTATATCCCAAAAAACCTATATGTTAAACTATTATAATTATCTAAAGAATGCGTGACAAATTAAATAAATAATTAAAAAAAAATTAACGATGAGTGAAGATACAGGTAAATCACCTGATGAACAACAAGCATCAACTTCTGAAGTAAAAGTTTTTTATTATATCGATGATCAAGATCCACCTTATTTAACAAAATTAAATGTAACTGGTCTACCACGTTTAAAAGATTTTAAAAATGCTCTTGATCGTAATTGTTCAAAATATAAATTTTTCTTTGCTACAAATGATCCGTCTATTGGAAAAGTAAAAGAAGAAATAACTAACGATGAACAAATTTTACCATTTGATACACAAGATCGTGTTCTTGCTTATCTTGTGTCTATTGAAGGTAGTACAACATCAAGTGGTGGTGGTGGAAGTAAACAACCGAAACATAATTATCATCATCGAGATGATACGATTTTAACATCAACAACAAATAGTTCATTTAATATTCAACAACCACGTTTACAACGCATGAGTCGACGTTATGCATCGGCTAATAGTGCTGATTATCAAAAATATTTTCTTAAACAACGAGCTGTTAATGATATGGCATCATTTCCAAGTAGTGATCTGGAATCGACAACATTCTTAGATGAAACAGAAGACGATAGGTTAGTATAATATAATTGATTACAAGGCAACTGACAAGGGAATTTCTACAGCTGTCGTCTTCTAATTTGAATGATTTCTTTTTTGCTGCATAGTTTTCTAATAAAAATTCTAAAAGGCTTTGGGTTTCTATTGAGATTTGACTAACTTCCATAAAAAGAATTCAGATTCAAACTGTTTCTTCACTAAATAAAGCTTTCAAAAGTAAAACTGCATGTTGTATACACCATTCATGGAAAAGAGTCTATATCTTGAAAGTATTATATCCCGTTGAGATTTTGTTCAATGCTTCTAAGTTTGTGCATGAAAGCTATTCATTTTTTTAAAAAGTCGTTTAGGGAGAATGGTTATAACTTTTGAAGAGAAACTGATAGAGATCTGCAGTTTTCATTGTTAGATACAGCACAGCAGGGTACGTAGTACCATAAAATAACCAGACATTCAACAAAATGTTTACCAGTAAATCTTTTAGTCGACGTCTTTTTTTTTTTTTTACTTAATTAACGCCAGTTAAGGCCGAAAAATTATCGAAAGTTGGATATGAATGTTTAAAAAACAGTTTTTACTCGATGACACTGAATTTGCAGTCTACTGTTATAGTGTAACCTCCTTTGAAGATGATTCGAGCTGTTAGTTCCACTATTTGCAAATTACAATCATATATATTCTCTGTGAATGGCAATCTTGTCAAGTTTACATTTGAGGGTTTAGCATGGTAAGCCTTACTTGAAGACCTAGTTATTTCATAGTAATACGTGCTGTATCCAATAATGAAAACCGTAGGTCTCTATTATTTTCCCTTCAAAAGTCACAAGCATTTTCCCTAAGTAACTTTTTCTAAAAAATGGATAACAGTCCAGTTGAGTTCTCTATATATACAAAATTTGAGATCATAATTTGATAGCTTACTCAGATATGAATAGAAACCAAAATTCTTTTAGAGTTTTTCTTGGAACACCATGCAGTGTCTATATGGAAAAAAGAAAATGTTGAAATCGAAAGCTAACAGCTGAAGAGGTTCTCTCAGGACAATAGAAATGTGCAAAAATGATTGAATTATAAGATTTTCTAATTAATAACTGATAAGGTTCATACCGATTAATTTATCTTACCTACATAATGAATCAAATGTACTCGATGAATGTCAGCGAACTGATTAAACGAGATCTTTCAAAGAATGATCAAGTTTACTATCGAAATGATTTAATGATGCTTAGAATTTTATATGAATTTATAGTAAGCGTATGCAACATAGCTAGCTCATTCAGACGAATCTTATTCATGGTATTTTGTTTGAAAATGAACTGTGATATTCGAGAAAAAGATATCGTTTCGTCGAACATCTGATATAAGTAATAACAGTAGGTCGAGCATATATATTGATATTAGTTATTGTTCTTTAGAATCGTTCGATTCAAAATACAAGTACTATGAACTGAAAAATACACATTTTATTTGTCTCTAGAAATATCATAAAAATATAAAAGATACTTAGAGTATAGCGTACGTAAATTTTAAAGGACGGTGTGATCGCCTCTTCCTGGATCTGCTAGTGTAACAACAGCATTATTATCGAGATTTATTCGAAAATTAAAAAAATTGATTTGAATCTGAGATGTTAATACTTATTAGCAAACGGTATTAATCATTTTTTCCTTCTGTTAAACTCTCGAGTAATTCGTCTTGTTCTTGAGTACAGATTTCTATTACAAGTGAACGACATCAACACTAGAACACTTATGTAATGACTTGAGCTGATGACATGTTGTTTGCGAATTTTATTATGGAGCCGAGTTATTACACAAGAGTGTTCTAGTCTAAATATCATCTCACTTATGGTAGATATATATAGAATGAATTGCAGTGAGTTATTTTAGGTGGTTCTCTCGTCAGTGTTGTTGTTTTTTTTCATCTTGATTTTTCTTAAAATTTGATTATCTTAGATATTCCACGGTAACTGATTCAACAACAATTTCATCACGATATCATGGTCGAAATCGACCTCGTCGAAAAAAACATCGATTACCATCAGGATTTGATCGAGTAACTTTCTTTGTTTTTTAAAAATTTTTCATATCTAAATTCTTTACTTGTATTATAGGCATCATCATTCAGTAGTCTAAATTCAGAATCAACCATGACATTAAATATTATCACCGTAACACTTAATTTAGGTAATATAATTTTTAATAATGATTTCATTAAAATTAAATCAAAGAATATTTGTTTTTTTTTAGATGCTGTTAACTTTTTGGGTATAAGTATTGTTGGTCAAAGTGATAAAACAGGTTCAAGTGACGGAGGAATTTATGTTGGTTCAATAATGAAAGGGTAAAATGTTTTATTATTTACTCTCGTTTTGCTAATACAAAATAGGTCAAGTGAAAAATCTCTAGTACACTAGTTATTTTCCAAGGATAAATACAATCTATCTTTTCGGACACAGTTTTATTCTTATATCGGTGCTCCATAGTCCTATGGTACATATCCATTATATGTATAGCAGGTCTCGCGTAGAGTACTGTACATATAAAACTTGTCGTATCCATACGCGATGGTTGCATTATTTAAACACATCGCTCATAATTTAACAGAACAGACAATGTAGGATGTCACCTAAAACTATACAGTAAAACTTTCACTATTGTAAACAGTGTCGAGACCATTTATAAGCGTTCATTATACAGCGATATTTAGTTTAGAGAATGGAAGGATAGTTTGGTGTAAAATGAAGAAAAAATTTCACAATAGCTGCTTCGTTATCAGTCTTAGATAAAAGTCTAATTATATATTATTTTGTTCATGTAGATGAATAGAATAGAAAGATATTTCGATAACAATACAAAATCTAATTTAAAAAAGAATTCTTTAATGTTGGTTGTTTTGTTGTTGTTACTAAATGAGCATTTCGTATCATTTTCATGGCTTCCGTTATTTTTAGTAGGACTACTGTTGACATTCGATCATCATTATCATTGCCACTATCTGATTCATTAGCATTTAGTATTATTGAATGTTGACATTTATCGAGACATTCATTGAACGCAGATATATCTTTATCTATATCAATAACACTGATACATAAAATGCACTTATTCATAATGCCTAAGAAACAAGTAGTAGACAATAGAAAGAGGTCAAAAAGCTATAGCACATGTGTTCACATTCGAGAAATGTGCATTTCTAGCAAAAATCGTTCCGTCAGATCTGAGGTCGTTCATAATTAGAAAGTCTTCACTAATAGAAGTTTTACTGTATTTTCAAATTTTGTTTGATAAATAGTCCCATTAAAAAATAAACTTTGCGTCCACAAATTATTACTTAACACAACCGTACCGCCCGGTTATAATACTGTACTCTCAACGTACTATTATATATCTCGATCAGGTTAAAAACACTGGTATTGATCATATGACATCTGTGGCAAATCACTGCATCATTACCCACTATCTTGAATAAAATTTTGATCTAAGCCAAAATCAAAAACTACACTATTGAGAAACTTCACTAGAAACGACTGGATCGAACCATATTTTGATACTCAATGAAACTTTCTAATCGGAATCGAATAATCGCCACAAAGATACTTTTTTCTGATTTTTTTTGCATTCGATAACTAGCACCCAATTGGCTCTAACATTCACAATTATATTCTAGTCATTCAAATTTGGAGAAAGACTCTGGAAGATTCTAGAGAGCAGTATAAGCTTTGTTGTTAATGTCGTTCAGCATATTCTTCTGTTGCTAAGAAGCATCTATAAATCTTTTTTTTCGTTTAGAGGTGCAGTTGCACAAGATGGTCGCATTGAACCAGGTGATATGATACTTCAAGTAAATGATATTAGTTTTGAAGGATTATCAAATGATGATGCTGTTAAAATTCTACGTGAAACTGTACAAAAACCTGGGTATATTACGAAATCTATTCTTCAACATTTTATAATCTTCTTCTTTTTTTCCAAATAGACCAATTAAATTGGTTGTAGCTAAATGTTGGGATCCAACTCCGCGAGGTTATTTTACATTACCTCGTCATGAACAAGCACGTCCTGTTGATCCATTATCATGGCTAGCACATACACAAGCTGTACAAAATACATATAATAATAATCCTCAACAACAAGTTTTACTTCATCACCGACAATCATTATTAAATTCAACAACAAATATGAGTTCAACTATATCAAGTACAAATAATACAATAGTTGATAATCAACGTAAGTTTTGTATTGAAAACAAGAAAAAAAGAAAAATTAATTTTTTTTTTTATATTTTAGGTTTTGGTCTTGATCTTAATTTAACAATTAATTCTGATATGGATACAATTGTACGAGCTATGGCTGAACCTGATTCAGGCTTAGATATACGTGATAGAATATGGCTCAAAATTCCAATACCAAAATCATTTCTTGGTATTGAAAACAAAAAAAAAAAGTTTTTCGTTTTGGTTTATGCATATTATTTAGGTTCGGATTTGGTTAATTGGTTATTTGAAAATGTCGATGGATTTGTTAATCGTAACGATGCAAGAAAATATGCATCATCTATGCTTAAAGCAGGTTATATTCGACATACGGTTCATAAATTAACATTTTCTGAACAGTGTTATTATGTTTTTGGCGATATTTATTCACAAGGTAAATGAAGAAAATTTGGAAATATTAAAATTAGAATTTATTTAATATTTAGGTATCTCTCAATTGACACTTGATGAAGAAGCTGAAGATTATGAAACGGTTTCTGATCATACAAATACTACAGATCATCGTAGTGGTGATTCATTATTAACAACAACAAGACAAAATACTGTCACAACATTTGGTTTTGTCGACAAAAATAATGCTCCACTTCAATCACCTTCACAATCTCTATTAACTGATACACACCATTCAGGTAAGATTAATGACTAATATTTTTGTTTTTACAAAAAATTAGATAATAATATTAGAAACTCGGTTAGTAATTGAGGGAGTACACTTGTTTATATCTTATATCTAGTTATGCTCATGAAAAATTCTTATTACCGGCATCTTTCATGTATCAATCCAGCGGCTCTATGCAGTAGCAATGATGATAATGATATTACGACATGTTCATCACCTGTCGAAGTTTAATGTCATATAATCAGCATTTGTCAGATATGAACGATGCTATAAATATTCAAATTTTTTTTTTTCGTCTTTGTCATAAAATTTTTTTCTAATAAAAAGAAAAAAACAAGGTTTTTCCTTTTTGTTTTCTTAACAGTTAAATTTTCATGATAGATATTTTTTTATTATTTTCTTTAGGTATTATTGGTACAAAATCATCTTCAACATCGACAAGCAGTAGTAGTGAAACACGACAATTAATTGATGTACCAAATAAATTACGTTCGAGCAAAGAATCATTTCAACGTGCTATGACAAATCCATTACCTCGAGAATTTTTTGTTGATGTTATGTAATCATTCTATTTCAAATATTTCTCACTTTCTGTTTTTGTCAGATAATTAACAAAATAATACTCGTTTTTTTTCCTTCTCTTTCTTTTTTCTATGTATAAAGTTTACGTGTGACTACTCTTGATCGTAGCATTTGAATATTTGTGTAGAAAGAGAATATATCTATATTTAATCTCCGTCTTCCTTTTCTTTTTCGCACTATTTTTTTTGTGCTTGAATTTCTCTCGATCAAAAAGATTTTGTTTTGCGTGGAACAATAAAGGTAAAATAGCAAAAGGAATGAAAAAAAAAAACAACTGTTTACTATTTATTTCATCTATAGATTGGTAAGACGAACTGACTTTGAGAAATGTCAAAATTGTCATTTCGGATATGTAGAATATGTCACTTATTTTATCCTATACTAGCACGACATTACATTCAACATTTTGTCTTTGAAATAAATAATCAATCTTTTAATAATTTTAGATGTTTATAAAACTTCTATTTATATATATTTCAACTCTTCTACCTATTGTTTATAGTCTTTGTTATACAAACATATCAGAAACATGGATATGTGATGGTTATGATACATTAAATACTACTACAACAGCTAATTCAGATTATGAAATTATTTTAAATAATCAACAATTTAAAAATTTTTTTCTAAAAAACTATTACTTATCAATATTTATAATTGATAATTATCCATTAACACTTCATCTATTAAATGCAAGTAATAATAAATTTGATAAAATTATTATAACATCAAGAAATTGTTATAAATCAAATCTTCGTCATTTAATACTTGAATCAAATCATATTCAACAATTTAATATTGATACAATTATTTTACCTCAATCATTAGAAATAATTTCATTAGCAAATAATCATTTAGAAATTCTTGATGCTCGAATTTTTTCACATTTAAAAGATTTAATTAAACTCGATCTAAGAAATAATCAATTAAAACGTATTTCACCTCAATTATTAATTAATATTAAAATTGATTTCAATAATAATCCACTTGATTGTCAATGTACACCTGAATTTTATCGAATTATATGTGAAAAATCAACAAATTTAAAACAATCTATAGTAAGAAAAAATTTTCAACGTTCATATAATAATTCCTTCATTTAGAATAGAAAAAAAAATTACTAAATTTACTAAAACAATTTTCATTGAGTTATGTATGACGATAATCCAAGGTAAAAGAGTTTGATGAAAGAACAGATCATTTAACTCATTGAGTATCATTGCTTTAGCAACTTGTAAATTTGAATGATTATTGTTTGCATCATCATCCAACAAGTTTCAGCCTCATTTACTGCAGATTTTTTGAGTTATAAACGTCTGATCTCATTAGTTTTCAATATAAATTTGAAGCGTTAGCTTTTAATAATTCTTGAAATACGGCTATTTTACAATTGAGAATCACTTTTGAAATTGAAGATTGCTTGCAAAGAAAATTCATAGTTCAGTCTAGGAATCTTATTTTCAAAATTCCAATAGAAACTCTCAAATATTTTTGGATTGTTCAGACGAAATATGAGAGTCTACTTTTATATTCTTCGATAATTCATTGAAAATGAGCACTCACGATTGAAATATATATAAGAAAGTAAGAATCAGAAATTAAGAGTCGTTCATTATAGCATATCTTGTATGGTTCATATTCGGGATAATTACATAGGAATATAATAATTAAAAAACTTGGAGAAAATTATTGTTAGTTAGAATTCATGTTCACTTTAACATCAAGTCATGTCCTTTATTTTGCATCGTTTTCATTTCCCATTAGAAGTGTGAGCCGATTGACACTGCTGCTGATATTTTGGAAAATTTTTTGACATACAAAACTTTCAATCGCTGATTAAAACGTCGACTTAGATTTCTACATTCCATATATATGCTTGCAAGCAAAATGAATAACATATTTGAGATCGACACATAAAACTATGTCGTCACCTCTCAATATCTTTTTATTTTCACCATTTATTCGAAGAAAAATAAACTTGATAAAAAGCCGTTACCACAATTCCTGTGAGTTTAAAATGTGAAACATGATGTTACTTATCACACAGAGATTGTTTTCTTCTATTTATTTCTGAATAAATTTCTTCATCATCGTTTTACTTAGTCCCCCAGATATACAATAAAGGTACGGTCTTTGATTGTATATTAACGATGTTTGTCATGCTCTGTAGAGGCAGAGGATGCAATTTTGTACCTTTTACACTCCAATACTCTTTTTACGTCGTGTTTTACAAAACAAATAAAGCTATACTTTACAAAACAAATTAAAACTCAAAGTATTCATAGTTCTATGATTTATATTTTCAAGATTTTTGTATGATACTTTACATTTGTCAAAATTATAATTTAGAATGAAAGTTATAATTGCACGGCACCATATTATGATCCTCAACAAGTTGATACTCATCCAGCATCTTATTTACGTTTTTCTACATTTACTCTTATATGTCCAATTAATGGTCAACCTCCACCTATAATTATTTGGTCAACACCATTTGGTAATCTTACATCAATAAATTTATCAAATATTGATTTACTTCCATTTAATAATGATAAACCAACATATGTTACAATAACAAGTTTAGCCGGTCCATTTACTGCTCGTACACGACATAAATTACATGCATTTAATACAAATCGTTTATCTATAACACAAGCACGTGCTAGTTTACAACATAATTTTTCATGTTCAGGTATAAATATGCTTGGAATATATACATATAAATTTAATTTTAATATTGAAACTTATGCAAAAAAACATGCTCTATGGCTTATGATGTATACAATGATTTTTGCATTGGTTATGTCACTTATTGGTATTATACTTTGTATAATATTAAAACGAACATATTATTATTCAAGTGATCATATGAAAACACCACCATTATATCCAACAATGACACCAAATAGTGCTGCACGTACACCACCTAATTTTGAAATTAATCAATGGTTATCATCAGCAGCAGCAAACATAACTGGAACACTTGAACAAGTACGAGATATACTTCGTTCAAGTGTACAACAAGTTAGTGGAACAATTCGACAAGCAGCTGAAAGGTAATAAAATAATATGAAATATTTCGTTTTCTTTTTTCCTTTTTTGTAAAATGAAATAAGCTTTTTGTTTTGTCTTAGTTCTGCTGCTTATCTTCAATCATTTCGTGAAACAAGTCAACAACGATTTAATTTTTTACGTGTACATACATCATCATCTTTACGTAGTTCTGGTAATTTTATGCGTGCTGGTATGAATATGTTAACAGTACAAGTAAATTCTTTACGTGATTATTGTGGTGTAACAACTGGTCATTTAGTTCCATCGAATTATTTATTACAACAACAACAACTTCACAATTTACAACATTCAACTTCATCAATATTATATGTGCAGTATAATCAAATGCCAACAATAGTTGAAGATAACGAATCTACTATTGAACCAACATTATTAATTAATCCTCAAAATTCTTCACCTTTTACAGGAGATATACCATCAGCCGTATTAACAAATGGATCAGGTATTGGTCAACTTGATACGTCTGATAATTCCGCTTTATTAATATTAAATAATTTGAATCAAGATACAATAAATATATGTGATAATGAAGATGTTATAGTAACAGGAAATATGATCGGTGGAGTTGGAACATTTCATGATAGAAATTATGATCATAATGATGAACTTATTAATGAATCTCAAAGATTAATTAATTATAGTAAATGATATTCAGTTCATTAAAAAACAAACAGAAATAAAAATAAGATCTTACACATAAAAGATTTTATGTCAGATTTTTAAATATATATATATTTTTTGTCAATATTATTCCATGAGTATAGATATGACTAATGTAGAAAGTCCTTCAACTAATAAATCACTTTTGAATTGAAATTATGCACATTATTTAGACCCAAATGAACTACGAATATCATGGAAAGAGTTTGTACCCTTAGCTTATTGTTATGAGCATACTGTAAATTTACAGTCGTTTTTAAATGAATGTCGTGGTCTTCCTCAGATACGATCAGAAAAACTAGTTTTCGAATTGCGACTTGAAACTTGGTATAGAAACGAGCCTTAACGAGAATCAATTTTTGTAAATGTTTCAGATCTTATCGCTGATCCTATTCTAAGATACAACTATGATAATGACGGATCTTTTACATTATAGTCGTTATAGCTGACGAGGGAATCTGTCCAAACTGATACCCAATATTCTCTTACTTATTCCATTTGTTCATGAGTGGAATTTCAGATCGAGATCCCATTATTTGATTTGTCAGTACATACCTAAATCTGGATTGAAAACTCAGTAAATCGGTCATAACTCCGCTACAGAAGCCCATGCGCATGCACCCTTTTAGGTCTATTCTTATCCTACCTAGATCTCATAGTAATCTCAATATAAGCTCGAACAACAGGTATCAGTTCGGGTAGTTTTCTCGAGAATAGTTACATTGTTCAACACGTATCCGTAAAAAAAAATTGTCTGGAAACTTTAATACCACCAGCTACAGAATGATCCTGAACAATTGACTGATGGTTGTTTGTTTCAAATCACCAGTCCGATCTCATGCTGACTGCATGGTTAGTCAGTCAGTATAGAGAACTAAACGATTCAGCCCAAGAACTCTGCATCAGGTTGACCTTCAGTCCAAAGCTATAGCTAGTATCAAGTATAGGAAAGATATCGAGTTATTATATCTACCACAAAGTAGCTGAAAGATACGAGTATTCTTCCTTTCTTCTTTTTACATCGCTCATATAAACCGACAGATTTTATACTCGTATTTCAGAATAGAAACAAATTCAGAGATCTGAAATTTTCACAATAAACTACTTTCATTAAGTAATTCTTAAGTTGAAGTTCAAAAATCAATATTTCTGTTGTTCTTGAGGAAGAACCACAGGATTCGTTTAAAAGCTACCATGGATTTGTAGTATCCTCTAAGGCATATATCTTGACTCAAGAGTGATTTGTTAGTTGGACGACTTCCTCGTGAAGTAAATTCAAATTCATAAAATTTTACATGACTTAAGAATCTCTTATATATGTGTTAACCGGGTCCGGTCCATCAGTGTTTTATTTGAGCTAATGAATAATTTTATTGTATTCTTATATTAGTCTTGAATATTTAAATTTGGAATAGAACAAAAAAGTAATAATACTTGTTTTGTGCTTTCCTTCTTTATTTTTGTTATTTTTCAAGTTTATTTTCAATTTTTTATTGTGCTTAGAAAGAGTTTAATGAATTATAATTTGTCTATTTTTAACTTTGTTTGCCGTTCAATATAAACATGTTTTTTCCTTAACATGATGTGATATGTGTGAATGAATATCTATTATTTAAAAAAGATAATAATTAAAATATTTTTTCCGATACTTAAACATCTGACGGTAATATTTTATCTAGTTATCACATATGAATACAAAATAATCTATATTCATTAATACTTTCCATTAAATTTGCTTTTGCTTTTGCTTTTGAATGAATAATTAAAAGAGTGTCCTATTTCTTTAAAACGACTAATAAATAAATATTTCTTGTTGTTTTCCTTGTTTGAACTATTTCAGATGAAGATCGACGAATTATCGTTATATTACAAAAAAAGATAAAACTGTCGGGTAAGTTACATTTTTTTTTCTTACATTGATAGAATACAATTGGAAAAACCGATCAGGTTTTTTTCAAACAAAAAATTATTGTTGTTTTTCTCAATGAAAGAGTCGTATTTTTCTTATACAGAAACAAATGAAATATAAATAATCAAATAGAATTTCGTTTTATTAGTTAATCAAGAATAAAAACAGTTTGTTAGTATTATTACCTAAAGATAATAAAAATAGATTCTAAGTTTCATCTTCTAAATATTTCAAGAAAATTCCATGACCTTACTTAAGTTATCTTTCAAATCAATTTATGAGTTTAAACTACGCATAAATAAAGTTCTTTATTAAATTAGAATATTGTGAAGGTATCAACATTTCTAGTGTCTTCTATTATCATATGTACTAAATAAAAGAATTCTTAGTATTTTCTATCTGGCGATAGAAGATACAATAAAGTCTCCTCATTTTACAACTTATGTGATGTGAACTGGACAAAAACTGTTGGTAAATCGTTGAGTATAATGCGTGGTACACTGCCAGCTTTCATCTCACCGGCAATATAATACCCGTGTACCGGCGGTAGTGTAAACAAACATGTGATATGGGAATGTTCTATTTCCATGAAAGACTCTATTTTATACAAAAATTTTTGAGTAGAAGAGTAGATTTCGAAGAGGATCAGGGTATTTTGTTGAAAAAACTCACGAGAGTTATCATAATTCAAGAAGAAAGATCTAATAGACATGAATCATTTTCAACTTTCTCTCGCCTCCATTGAGTTTCGTTTTATATAAGTCAGTTTGGCTGTAAAACCCAAATATATCCTTGTATTCCTGACACACATTGATAGACGATTTGAAATAGCTAAAGAGTTCTAGAAGATAACTTTGCCATATTTCTTAGAGTACGTTCAGATACAGAATTTTCGTTTTTTCTTCTCCTCAATAAAACTCATCTGAAAAGTGATTCATTATTTGACGATATATCCTCGTAAACTGATGAAATTTAAGTTCATTGTTTTAATCTACGAAGATAGTTGATACAGATTTGATAAAACCACTTCTTTGTTCGATTTCATTTTGAATAACAGAAATATGTTGTATTTTTATTTTTTGTTTTTCAAGATACCAGTTCCATTCAATTTCGCTATCATAAGCGTCGCTATCGGAATTATCAGCGCATGCAAACATCATCCTCAATACCGGTCAATATTGATATAATCGATACAGAATCATTTCATCTATTACCAAATAGTAATTTATCAATAACATTTCGTTTTTTACGTCCTGGTGATCAAGCAGAAGTAAAATCTCTTTGTCACGATTGGTTTCCAATTGAATATCCAGACAAATGGTATAATGATATAGTTCAAAATAAAAAATATTTTGCTTTAGCAGCATGTGATGCTTTTACACAAAATATTATTGCTTTAATTGTTGCTACTATACTCCCATTAGGTAATTGTAATCATGAAGATCAACAAATTTTACATGAAAAATTTTCATTAACAACATCAATTTGTTATATACTCACATTAGGTGTGGTTAAAGAACATCGACGATTAGGTTTAGCAAGTATATTATTAGAAAATTTATTAAATACATTATATAAATATGATACATGCAAAGCTATTTATCTACATGTTTTACATTCAAATAAACAAGCAATAAAATTTTATGAATCAAAATTATTTCAATATCGTTTACATTTACCATCTTATTATTTAATTAAAAATGAATATTTAGATGCATATTGTTTTGCTCGTTATATTAATGGTAAGGTTTACATAATGCAGAATTTGAGTGGATGTTTTTTCCTTGTTCATTTATATATAAGAGCTTGACGAGTCGGTTATGAATGTTCAGTTTTTAGTTCGATACAACCACTTTTTGATCGAAAAGAAAACTCGAATAGCTGAAAATGTACTGTTGGCAAATATGAACTCTCGTTTTGTCATAGAAATTGTAAAATTTCAATAAAGCTGTTTTCTCGAACTTTATGAAAGCATTTATTCTGATTTAGCGTAAAAACCTGACTAGAAAAGTTTTATTTGATTAAATATAGAGATAATAGGATTAAGAAAATCTTATATAATATAGATACCTCCAACATGTGTCATAGCATGTACTTATGAATATTATTAAAAAACTATTTAGTTTTCTGTAACAGAAGATAGAAGCAAGTTTTTTTTATCTCATTAGAATTGCTATATTGTGAGCTGAAAAAAGTTTTCATTTTAGTTTTTAGTTCCTGTTTCATTGTTAAGAAAATTGAATTCTTTCCTTAGTCGATGACAAAATCAAATTACAAAAAAAGTTGTTAGCATAATACCTGTGGGATAAGAATGTGAAATACGATTTAGGTGCTCTTGTTAATCACAGAAAGATTATTTTATTCTATCTATTTCGGGATATGTTTCATCATCAGAGTTTGACTTATTTCTCTAGAAATACAATAAGAAAGTAGTTGACATATTCAATGAACCATTATTGACATACGGTCTGTGATTGTATATCAACGGCGTCTGTCATGTCTGTGATGTGTCATTGCCTAGATGTCTGTCATGTCTGTTTATTTAGCTTTGAAACAAGTTTATATTCTATACTGTAGAGCTCATCGAGTTGGTTCCGGGCAAAGATACGACCGAGTCTGGGTCCGAGAATTTTGTATCAGACGCACTCTACTACGTTGACGTAGTACTTTGAAAATACATTGCTTCAGAGTCTTTTCAACCTTCTCTTGAAGTATTTGTTTGCTATCGATCTTGTAACAATATTTAGTCTGTCACGTATGTAGAGGGAAGGGAAAAAAAGAGGGGGGGGGGGGGGAATCGACATTTCTACCCCTACACTTCAACACAGCTTATATGTCGTGTTTCACAAAAGTGAAAAATGGGTTCGTATTTAACGGTTTTTTAATTATCATGGCTCAGTTAGGAAGCAAAATAGATAGCATGTTCGGAATCAGCGTGACAAACTACATCAGATTAAAGAAATGTTTTTTTTTCTAATGAAAAACTGACTTTTTTTTGTGAGTAGGAACGAAATTTTAGAGAAATAGACCTAAGAGGAAGTGCAGATGTATTTTTCATCGGAAATAGGTTTATAGTGAA